CTGCGCGGCCAGCACCGCAGCCCTCCAGAGGGAATGGTCGTGCATCCTGTTTTGAGTGTTGAGGTGGATTTCCCTGCAGGGAAGTGCTGCTACCTCTAAGGTTATACAGAAGACTTCATATCCAGTATATTTAGATATTCTTAGAGAAATCTAACAAATCAACATACAAAACGGCTCTATGTATGCGGCATTCCTCTCAGCAAATTTTAAGAACAGAGAGCTTATCCATTCTCAGTATTTTTTCGTCAGGTTCAAGTGTATGACTAGCAATGCATTTGGTGAACTGCACACTTTGAACCGGTCGAAACTTCACTCTACGGGCGGGGTCTCCGAGGGACTGTCATAGGCGCTCGCTTGTTGGGAACGGTGCCTGTTGGTTTTACAGTTGAGCTTCTGGATGATAATGTTGTATGGACGCACATGTGTGACGTGGCGCGCATCACATTATTACTAATATATTCACACACGCTGGGAAACTTCGAGTCGAAGATTGCAAATTCACACACCTGAATCTACTCATTTCACAGAAGGGTTTAGCTGAATGGGGGCCTCCCAGGTTCTCTAGACCACTTGCCCCAGCTGTCTTATATGTTATATTACTAAAGAAGGTCTTCCAGAGTTAAATGTCTATTTGTAAGTTAAGTCACCATATATACATGTTTATTTTTTCTGCATGTATGCTATCTTTTTTTCTGTACTCCTTTTTTTTAAAAGCTATATCTTAAATTTAGTTTACTTTTATAAAATCATATCTTTATGTTGCAATTGGAAAACCACTGGTGTCAGATAGTAATATTTATATAAATATTAAAACTCCCTATGGAATATTGGTATCAGGCATGACTTTAGAGAAACTTGTTCTACAAAACTTTTATTTCTCAGATATTCCCTGATTGTAGGCATCCTTCCTAGCATAGCGCTTTTGTTTATATCTTTTATCAAAATGTTCTTTTCATCAAGAATCAGACTTTCGCAGCCATTTCATCACCAGGGTTAGTTTAAGGAAACGTGTCACCTCTTCCTGCCTGTGTGATTTCAACCTCGGGTGTGACTGGAACAGTCAGCTGCCCCATTGCAATGTTGAAAGCAGTGTTAGCAATCAGGAAGTGGGAATCTAAGGGAACACGAAGGAAGACTCGGTTCCTCTGAATTGTTGCTCTGCCCAAGCCTGATTTTGGAGATGACCGCAGGCTTGGGGTCGTTTTTGTGGCTTTGATTTGCCAAGTCAACATGGCCAACAAAGCTGTTTGCCTGCGTAGCTTTTCCTGTGATAGCCACTTAATAAACGTAGGCGAGGGAGGATGATAGGCATGGAATAGTAATTGGTTCTCATGGGCCTCATGTGTAATAGGCATTTTGGGAGAGAAGACATTTATGTCTTCGGACTATTTTTGGACTAATTATGAAATTAAGGCTCATAAATTTAAAAAGTTTACATCATGAGTTAAGCCACAGAGAGATAGATGATGGGAAGTATCTAGGAGTTAGGTAAAGGGCTTTACCTAGTCTGTCTGTGAAAGCTTTCTGGATATGTTGGTTTTTCAGTTGTAAGTATGTCTTTTTTTTTTGAGACGGAGTCTCGCTCTGTCGCCCAGGCTAGAGTGCAGTGGCCGGATCTCGGCTCACTGCAAGCTCCACCTCCCGGGTTCACGCCATTCTCCTGCCTCAGCCTCCCGAGTAGCTGGGACTACAGGCGCCCGCCACCTCGCCCGGCTAGTTTTTTGTATTTTTTTAGTAGAGGTGGGGTTTCACCGTGTTAGCCAGGATGGTCTCGATCTCCTGACCTTGTGATCCACCCGTCTCGGCCTCCCAAAGTGCTGGGATTACAGGCTTGAGCCACCGCGCCCGGCCAAGTTGTAAGTATTTCATGTTTTGTTGTAAACATCCTGTGATAGATAGATTAACATTAGGCCACCCCACCATTTATGACAAAACTACCATTAACGTGCAAAGATTTAACATTGTTGTGTCAGCAAAAGGAAAACCAAAGTGGATTAGGAAGAAGCGTAAAACTGTTAGTGTTTGAAGGAAGATACTGGGTCCCAGATGGAGAGAACAGTGAGCCTGGGATCAGGTTGGAGCCACACCCCTGAATCGGGCACATAGCAGGTGAGTAAGCAGGTGCCTGCTACAGATGCGTGTGCAGCCCATGGGATGCTCCCCAGGCGTCCTTAGCAGCAGACGTGTCAATTGAAAGACGCTTCACTTGGGGAGAATGACTTTCAGACGTGGGGAATGGCTGTCACGTGAGTCTATGAAGAGCCCACATTCTTTTAACAGCATACTCAGCAAGTCAACAGTTTATGCTATTTGATTTGAAAGACTTCAAATGAGTACTGAGCACTTTCTGGAAAAAGGCACTTTTTAATCAACATAAAATGTCAAGAAGAAATAACTTAAATATTTTTCAGGCTATAATGTTATTCATATCATAGACAGTGGACTAGCTTTATTTTACAGAAATTGGAGAAAATGGAAATGTATATTTCATAACACTCAGTCTCATAACTCCCTATTCCTACATAGGTTATAGTCTTGCCTTTTATTTTTAACAATCTGATGGTAACTGGCATAATATACTCAGTATTCTAAGTTGTATTTGCTGATGACCGTATGTTATATTACTAAAGAAGGTCTTCCAGAGTTAAGTGTCTATTTGTAAGTTAAGTCACCATATATACATGTTTATTTTTTCTGCATGTATGCTAAGGGATATTTGTCTTATTTAAATGGAGTGCTGTAAAATTCAAGAACAGTACCCCAGCACTTGTGCCTGGAATCCCCTGGGGATATTCTCAGGGCGATGACTGTGACCTTTAGGAACCCCCGACTCTCTGGCTACTCCGTTCCTCAGTCATGCTGTTCAAGCCTGATTTCCATAGAAACACGAAGCCCTGTGCATCTCCAGCTTGAGACGCTGACACTTCTGGGGCGCTCTCTCGGCCGTGGGAGGTTTTAGGGACTTCAGGAGGAAAGGATAACTCATGAGCACCTGCTGCTGCGCCATCTTGTCTTGTTGTAGGAAGTCCCGGGTGGAGAACAGATGCTGAGGCATTGGGAACACAGAGCAGTAGGTTCTGAGTTACAGGCAGGGAGCCTCAGGGCGGATGCATGGGGCAGCCGGTGGGGAGACAGGATTCCTGAGGAGACGCCAGCTTCCTAATTCGCTCAGGGTCAGCTCTGGTTAGTGTCATCTTTTAACACTGCTGAGACTGTGCCTGTGGCCTGAGCTTTCCTCTTAGCTCAGACATCTGACTTTTCACCCTTGGTTTATATACAGAGAGTTCCAACTTGAAAAGAGGAATAATACGGGCTTTATTTTGTAACAGCTATTTTCTGTGACATACATAGAACATCCTGATGTTAATAACCACCACAAAGTTCCATCACTGACCTTCCTGCACACATTTCTCTCAGACTCAGGCTGTCCAGGCCGAGCTGCAGGGCCACCTGGGCCCAGTGACTGCGGTGGAGTTCTGTCCCTGGCAAGCAGGCACCCTCATCTCCGTGTCCGAGGACAGAGGCTTTAAGGTGAGGGATAGACGATGGACTGCGTGCCCACGTGGCATGCGCTATGGAAAGACCTGTGGTGAGAGCAGAGCTGTGCGGTGGCTTCGCGGCCACTGCCGCCTGAGTGATGTTTCTACCCCACTTCCGCAAGGCAACTGCTGTCCTGATTTCCATGGAAGCACCAAGCCCGATGTTTTGCCAGGGTCGCTGACTGGGCTTGGATTCCTGACAGGACGGCTCTGCGGCCCTGGATTTCCCACAACTGCATCCAGGGCCTGGGAGAGCCCAAGCACAAATTCTTCTCCACGGCATTTCCCAGGCCCAGAGCAGAAGAGCCAGTTCCAGGGTGGAGGGCTCAGTCAGCACGAAATGAGGATCTGGAAGAAAATGAAATGCGAATTCAGTTTTTATCCAGCTGACACCAGTGTGTACCTGACAGTGTAGACTTGACTTGCGAGTGTGCACCTGACAGGGTGTAGACCGGTACAGTTTCCCGCTTGGTTCTCCTATCTTGGCAGCGTTGACTAAGTACCTGGGAACTGTTTTTAACCTTGTTTCGTGTTTGTTTCCAATTCTTCAGATCCACCAGGGGTTTATTTATGGAAGTGATGTTATTTTTTTGTTTTTGATTCTGACATCTTTTACTGTGTTTCTACATTTTTATTATTTTTGTGCTCCTTTTATTGTTTTCTGTTTTAGGTAATCATTTATGTTAACTAATCTGATATTGGATAGTACTGTTAGCTTAACCTGTTGCAAAAATGGCAATGTCGTTACCTCTTCTAAAGAACCCTCTGTTTTTCCAAAGGTCTGGGACTATTGTACAGGATCATTAATATACAGTTCATCTGTGTTATCAGGTAATTTAAAACTCTCATGTTTCCTGTAAATAGGCTATGTGTAACCCACTGTTTCTAGAGCATGTTTCAGGGCATAAGATGGAGCCATGACCTTCAAGTGGATCTGAATGAGGCAATCTCAGACTTAAACCCTTCACTCCCATCCACACAGGGAGAGGATTCACTTAACAGTGAATGTCCTTGACGTTTTTCACTTAAAATTAAATGTATGCGTGGAGTCTGGGCCTTTTTGTTTTGGAAGAGTAAAGCACGTTTGCTGTCAGATAAAATGCCTGAGCCCCCAGGGAAGGCGAGCCCTCTGCTCTCTGTAGAAACAAGTCCCAGAACCGGCGGTGTTGGTAGGGCCAGGACTGCCCTGCCCATCCGGCATGTGCGTGGGCGTGCACCACACCCCGGCCTCGTGGTCAGGTACTGAGCACGTGTGCAGCTCGTGAATGCCGGGGTCCTTGTGTTCTTCCCTCAGATGGCTTTTTGTTGGCAAATGAAGCTGGCACACGGCCACACAGACGCAGCATTGATGGTGCAGGTGTCCGTGGAGCACAGCACGAGGAGCGGCCTGTGACGCCCCCCGCACCTCTCCCGTGCAGCCCCTGTGCTTGTCCTCCTGGCGCCTCAGGGCACTGGTTTCCTGCATTCGCTTTGCTCCTCTTTTGCATGTTCTGTCTTTCCAGAAGAAGAGAGGTAGGGAATTAAAAGGAGAGCATTCTTTTGTGGGATAAGTGACATGAAAATGCCACTTAAAGCATATACATATACTTTGGTGACCTGGTAGAGTTATCGTGATATCTTCTCAAAGGTTTAACATTCTTTCTGAGGTTAGTGTATCCACGTGTAGCCTGTGGTGCTGTAATGACTTGAAAACATTGCTTTCTTTCAGGGTGAAGTGCATTTCTTGGAAGTACGTTGGAATCTTTTTTCTGAAATTAATTATACGGAATTACTATTTGGTTGCCAAGAATAGTGATACACTTGATCTTTGATTTCGTTCATAGTTTGATTAGGATGTGTAGCATTTTTCAATATTCATTTATCTAATTCTCCTAAAGTGTTGACAGTTTAGAGTAAATTTTCGATGAAACGACATCCTAGGCAACAATTTTTTTTTTTCCAAGAAAACAAGGCATCCATTTGATTGCTGTTTTCATCACTAAGTCTGTAATTTTATTATTTCCGGCTGACTCAGGAATCGTTCTGCCCCAGGTGCAATGTTGATTGAATACCAGTGCTGCCCTCCCTCCAGGCTATAAAGCAGCCAGAGCTGGGCCGTGGTTTAAGCCCTCTAGGCCTTCTGTCGGGCAGGCGGGATGGGATTCCTTGGGACCCATCTGAGGCGGACTCCCCAGGCGTCCTTTTGGGGTGACATCCCCAGCCCTCCTTGTGCTCATGGGGTTTTCAACATTTGTATTCACGTGCAATTTTTGCTTTTTGATGAAGAAATTATTTTGGAATAGTTCAAACTTGACTAACAGAAATACTGTAAGTAAATATTATGTGTAAAGAGATAAGTAAAACTGATTGTTCTCGGCTTACCTGGTGCCAGGCACTTATAAAGCTAAATTTTCCAATGTTGCTTTCACCAGCATATCCTCTTCTCAGCTTGTTCATTGATGCAGAAAGCAGGCAGCTGGTCGCCGGGTGTGCTGACGGCCAGGTGAGACAGCAGAGTGAAGTTCCAGTTCCCACACATTCCTGTACGTGAGCATGTACACAGGGGTCTTCGTCTTCATGCTGCTTTGTATTTTCCTGTGATTTGAAAAAACCTGTCCACCTCCGTGCTGAGAATGTGACCTTCTGTGGGTCTCAGCATCACTGCGGGTTCAGTATGGCCCTGGGCCCCCTGGTCTGCAGAGGAGCTGGATCTGCACGTCCCAGAGCTCCATACATGGTTCTGGAGTGCCGCTAAAGTGAGGGCCACTCACGTGACCTTTAAAACCTGATGAGAGGCCGGGCGCGGTGGCTCAAGCCTGTAATCCCAGCACTTTGGGAGGCCGAGGCGGGTGGATCACGAGGTCAGGAGATCGAGACCATCCTGGCTAACACGGTGAAACCCCGGCTCTACTAAAAATACAAAAAACTAGCCGGGCGTGGTGGCGGGCGCCTGTAGTCCCAGCTACTCGGAGGCTGAGGCAGGAGAATGGCGTGAACCCAGGAGGCGGAGCTTGCAGTGAGCCGAGATCGCGCCACTGCACTCCAGCCTGGGTGACACAGCGCAAGACTCCGTCTCAAAAAAAAAAAAAAAATAAAACCTGATGAGAAGAGGGCTGTGAGCAGACGTCCCACGCACGCTGCCTGCGCCCCGGAGAGGCTCCCTGGACGGCTCCTCCGGTGGCATCCCCAGTGCTCCTTGTGCTCCTTTTCCTGTCAGCTTTACACACTGTTGAAAAACCTGAAGATATTGGTCTTTTTCAAAACATTTTTTTAGGTGAGCATTTTAAGTTCATTTCATATGAAGACTTAAAATTTTTTTTTTTCCTTTTGACAAAGTTAACCACTGTTGCCCTTGTCTTCTCACCCAGGGCATGTGGGACGTGCTCTTGGCTGTGAAGCTGTGGGGTGTGTGCAGAGAGCCTGGCGCCCGGGGGTCCCGGAGGAGCTGTGGGGTGTGTGCAGGGAGCCTGGCGCCCGGGGGTCCCGGAGGAGCTGTGGGGTGTGTGCAGGGAGCCTGGCGCCCAGGGGTCCCGGAGGAACTGTGGGGTGTGTGCAGAGAGCCTGGCGCCCGGGGGTCCCGGAGGAGCATCTTGGGGAGGCCTGCACAATAGGATCCTGCCTGTGTGCTCTGAGCTGATGTGCCAGCCGTGCGAAAGTGCTCTGACACCGTGGGCGTGGGCTGTAAGGAGGGCCTCCAGGGTGGATGTTGAAGGCAGGAGAGAGCTGTGCTGGGAGCCTCTGCAGGCTGTGGAGGGAATCTCCTGTGACGTGTCTGTCCTCACTGCTCCTCCTCAGGTGTTGCTGCTTCTGCGCAAGGACGTTTGCTGCAGCATCGTGTCTGCATGTTCTTTGCTTTTGTAGCTCTGGATCTTCAGTTTGATGGATGGACACCACTATCGTCGTGTGGCACGGGTTGACCTAAGGAAGAAGACAGAGACTTTCTCCACGAGAAGGCTTAAGTCTGGGCTCTGCAGTCGGCCAGGTGGGTTGCTCAGACCCTCCCTCAGGCCTCCCACTTGGCCCAGTCTTTTCACCAGGCGCCATGTCGAGGGCCGTAGGTCACACAGAGGGGGGAGAGAGGTGCCAGTGTAGGAGAAGCCGATGGCTGCAACCTCAGAAAACCACCGAGGCCCTGCAGGTCATGTGAGGGGTGGGCCATCAGCAGACGGAGGCACCTGGTGTGTGTGGGGACAAGGGTGAGGGGCTTTGGTGAACAGAAGAGCAGAGGCCCCATGGCAGCAGCTGCGCGGCTGTGGGTTGCTTTCCTGCAGTGGGCGACCAAGGAGGGAAGGTCATGCTGATCAGAAAAGTACACTGCATGACCCAGATGCCACCTGCACCTGCCCAGCACCCTCCACGTCCCCATCTGGCCTGTGAATCTCAGATGCCACCTGCACCCACGCCACACCCTCGTCCTCACCTCATCTCCTGCTGTCCAGAGTTGCTTCCTGTTGACCACAGCTGACTTCTGTGCGCTTTTTATCTCCTGTACTGTCACAAAGGAGCTGACCCTCTCCTGGAAGAAAACGTTGATTTTCCTTTTCAGTCCAGGGGCCACCTCTTTCATTGGTGTGTGCAGCCGACGTTTCGTATTGCAGCAATCATCCCTGTGCTCACAGCCTACACACCCTTCCTCACTCTGGTTACTCATTCTTTCTTTTAGGTTGTGTTTTTTTGTAGATGACTTTAAGCTATTTTTTTCATATTAGGTCTGAAATTACCTTTATCCAGTACATCAATTTTTTCCTAACGTTTTAAACCTTCATTTTTGTTATTTATTTGATAAATAATTATCTACTACTGAAGCAAATCTTAAGCTTAGTTTTAGCAAATATGAAGTTAAATTCTTTCAGTTAATCATCTCCTCTTTCCCACTCCCTTACTCTGGTTCTGTACTTGAAGTCGCATCGCTCCCAGGCAGCATGCTGCTGGGTGTTACCCTCGTGCTTTCCTCGACACGTGATCCCCACACGTCATGCTGGGTGTTACCCTAGTGCTTTCCTCGACACGTGATCCGAGTGACTCCACAGTGCACACACGTCGTGCTGGGTGTTACCCTAGTGCTTTCCTCGACACGTGATCTGAGTGACTCTGCGGTGTACACACCTCATGCTGGGTGTTACCCTAGTGCTTTCCTCGACATGTGATCCGAGTGACTCTGCAGTGCACATGCGTCATGCTGGGTGTTACCTTAGTGCTTTCCTCGACGCGTGATCCGAGTGACTCTGCGGTGCACACGTGTCGTGCTGGGTGTTACCCTAGTGCTTTTCTCAACACGTGATCCAAGTGACTCCGTGGTACACACACCTCATGCTGGGTGTTACCTTAGTGCTTTTCTCGACATGTGATCCGAGTGACTCCGCGGTGCACACGCCTCGTGCTGGGTGTTACCTTAGTGCTTTTCTCAACACGTGATCTGAGTGACTCCGCGGTGCACACGCGTCGTGCTGGGTGTTACCCTCGTGCTTTCCTCGACACGTGATCCCCACGCGTCATGCTGGGTGTTATGCTGGGTGTTACCCTGGTGCTTTCCTCGGTGCGTGATCCTAGTGACTCCACGGTACACATTCACTGCAGCGTCTCTGTGTGGCAGTCCTCAGCCTTTAAACCTGACGAATGCGTTTAAGTTCACTTCTCAGATTGTCAATGATTCTGTTCCCTAGAAGAAAGCCAGCTTCCATCTACAAGTGTTCTGGGAAGAGGAGAGCAGGTTGAAGTAACATTTCCCATACTGAGACTTGCACCCTGCGATCTCTCACTCATCCCAAATTCTGCATGTGGATGGTAAGCATCAAAAACTTGGCCTATGCCATATAAAGGAAACTCTTAGATTCCTTAGAGGAACGTTAAGTTCATTTTCTAAGAATGACTGAAATAAAACCGAATTATGTTTGTCTCTGATTATTACTAACCTCATTCTTGGGATTGCATGTTTTAAATCTTAAAGTTGGTAAATTTGGGCAATGATATGTAAGTATCTTTAATAAAAGGAATTGGAGGATTTTTAAGCTTATTACCAAAGTCTAGGCAGATCTTTGCCTCTGTGATACAGCTTTTTCTTTAGAAAGGGGAAGTGGTGATCGGAATGGCCTAGACTTTCCCATCTACCACTGTGCTGTACTTTACACATTTAAAGTTAACCTCAGACAGATTTTATTTATTTCTGTGCTCAGTAGAAATATTATACATATTTGGCAACGTAAGGAAGTACTGTTTAACTGGGATTAAAGAATGTATTACAATTACGTTTACCTCTCCTCTCCAAAATGCTTGAGATTAGGGGGCAACCTTGCTTTGAATGGCCTTGGCCATTGCTTGTCTGTGTCTCTGTGCAGAGCAGCCCCTGGAGCAGAATATTCCCTGCTTGGTCCAAACCACAGAGAGGAAGCAGGGTGGGCATGGAGGCTGGATGCTGTGCTCCCGGCAGGTGCATGGACCTGAGGCACTTTGAGGCTTCCCTGTCTTACCTAGAGCAGAGGGATCCCTCAGAGCTAAGCCGGAGCCACACGACCCATTCTGTTGATGATAGTCATTGGGTGAACCGTGGACTGGTGCTGGTGGATGCCCAGGAGGTGCCCAGGGCGCTGCCTGGGGCGGAGCTGGAGAGGGGGAGGTCTGGAAAACAGGTTCCAGCTGGGGGCCTCTGCCAAGTCCACGTCCAGCCTCTCTGGAGGTGGCTTCTCAGTGCATTAACAGACCCCGTTGGCAGTGGTATTAACTCTGCTGCCTCGGGCCAGCTACTTTCCTCCTGGAGTTGGTTCCTCATTCCCAGGGGTGGGCAGCTTGCGTGGCCTTCAAGTCTAGTCACTCGGAGGCTACCTGAGCAGTGGCCTTGGCCCAGGCACTGGCGCCAACATTTTCTGAAACCTTAGAAGAAAATAGAAACCACAGAGGTCAGAGCGAGCATCTTCACAGACATTAGCAGGTGCCCAGGGGACCCACCACAGGCTGAAATGCCAGCCTGGCACAGATGTGGTTCTCACTGGCAAGAACCGGCCCCGGCCCACGCTGCCCAGTCCTGCGGAGAGCTCACAGCCAGGCGAGGGGGCGGGTGTGGGGCCCAGCCTTCAGGAATAAGATTAGTGTGTATTCTTTTCTTTTTTTCCTTAAATCAGTCTTTCTTCTGAGAACACCCAATGCGTGTGGATTGGAAGTTCGTTGGGCTTATTCATATTTAACCTGGCAAACCTGGAAGTGGAAGCTGCTTTGTATTACAGGGGTAAGATCTTTGGTGTAAACGCCGCGTAACTGCAATGTTTTCCTTTGACTGGTATGTGGGGTGGTGAAAATGTTTGTGGAGAAGGCGGCGCCGTGTGAATCTGAGGATGAGATGCTTCAGTCACAGCTCAGCATTGGGGATGTGAGGACCTCTGTGCTGCTGGAACTGAAGGACGAAGGCCCTTCCCGGACCCTCGGGCACTCAGCCCTGGAGCCGCTCTTTCCCTCCATCCACCAGGCCCTCGCTTGGCACTCCCGGCTGCCCGGGCCTCAGAACACCCACAGGAACACCCTTGGGAAACCCCTGGATTCTCCACCATTCCTAGAGAGCCTCCCGGAGCCCCAGGCTCACACAGCATAAACCTGGCCGAGGCACTCCCCTCTCCAACCCTGGTTCCCTTCTCCAGTTTCCGCCACCCCCAGAAATGTAGGAATAGTCACCTCTACCCCCATCCCCCACCAGAAATGTAGGAACAGTCACCTCCACCCCCACCCCCATCCCCCACCTTATCCCCCTCCCCCAAGACCCCCATCTCATCGCCTGACCCCAGTGGTTCCCACCTGTCCTCTCCTGGTTCTGTGGCTGCCACCAGCTGTACCCTTTCTGCTCAGGAGCCCAGGCGACTTCTGAAAAGCAGGCTGGATTCTGTCCCTCTCCTCCGCTGCAGCAGGGCCTCCTCGGTGGCCTCCCAGGTGCTGCTCCTCTCGGTGCCTCCTTTCCAGCCCTGAATGCTCAGACCTCTGTGGGGCTGCGGGATCCATCTGTCTTCATGCGCCCCCTTCCCTTCAGACGCCCATCCTTGCCCCTCCTCAGCTCAGCCAGGCATGGCTTCTCCTTGAAAACTCAGCCTTTCCTTCCCCCAAATGGTCACAGCTCTCATGACACATTTCCTTTCTGATCTGGTGCTGGACGTGTGGCTTCTCCAGGAGGCTGAGCTGCAGGTCCCAGTCCGAGTCACGGCCCGGCCTCAGAGTGGGGCCTGGCATGTGTGAGGCTCAGGGCCTGGTATGTGTGTGGTCTGTGCTCTGGTGTGTGTGTGGCCTGGGGCCTTGTATGTGTGAATATGTGGTGCCCAGCCTGCAATGTGTGTGGCGGGGCCTGGGCAGTGACTCCGTGTGTGTGTGCTCCCTCCCTCCCCATCATGTTCTTCCTGGTCTTTGCTGAACTGAAGATTTCCAGAGCCTCAGCATCCCGCTGGCCGGATCGTGTGCCCTGAGGAACCGCACCGCAGATCGCAAGGTCAGTCCTGAGATGCGGCCTTCCCTGTCTGTGAGACGTGCTGATCTGTGCCTCCAATTTCTCCTTTCTTGGGAGTGATCCTGTAACGACTGGCTGAGTAAATGGGGTTTTGTGTGTGAAAACGTTTTAGGAGTGGCGGGGCAATGTTGCTGCTGTGAGAATGAAGCAGAAGTTAGGATATGTGTGCAGATGCTCTTTTAGTCTGCTTTTACTGGGCAGTGTCGCTGACGATGTTGAAACTATGTCCCTGCAGACGCTGTGCTTGCTGGCCTCCCTCTTTGGCGGGAAGATCGCCGTGTTGGAGATCGACCCGGCCGCGCTGGTCAGGGCTCAGCAGTGCCCCGGCTTGAGGCAGAGCCTCTCGGTGCCAGCCAGGTAGAGTGTCTTCAAGTGTGGAGTGTGTGTGCGTGTTCACCAAGTAAGTGGCATTTGGATTTCTTTCTATGTTCAGAAATAAAGTTTAGGAAACTCTGAGCTCTACCAACACTGTTTGGAAGAAACATTTTTTCATGCTGTTGCTTCTGTCTTGTTGAAAGAGTTGATAGTTTATTTTAATTGAAACACTATTTTACTTCAGAACAGGATGTACGTTATAAAGCAGCACTTTTATTAAGAATATATTAATTTTTTCCTACAAGGATAAGAATATGCTTGACAGTTTTCATTTTCAAATACTGTTATGTCCGTAGCTGCGTGAATTAGTCATTTGTAACTGTCTTTAAAGTGTGTATGTCACTGAAACATTTCTATCATATTGTTGTTTGCGCTCCTAGTTTCATGTGGCTTGTATCTGTTTCAGCTCCTGTGTCCTACCGACCTCTCCACTGTATCTGGGAATTGCCAAGGAGAAGAGCCCCAAGGCTGCTAGTGGACGGCGATGTGGTCAGTACGGGGTGCTATGAAATCTAAGAATACAAGGCTGATGCGTTCTCACTGTGGTTAGGGCTGCTGCATTGTTTTGCGAATTCCTGTTTGTTAAAATACGCATTCCGTACTTCCTTCCATCCTTCCCTCCTTCGTGGCTCTGCCTCTTACGTGTTTGTTCCGTGTCAGCTGTGGTGGGGAACATGCTGGGTGCTTCCCCTCCTGGACTGGCCGTCACTCATGGGATTCAGCAGCATGCCCAAGACTGACCGCTGTTCCTCTGGTGCCTGGTGCAGTCGGGGTGCAGGTGGCCCTTCAGCAATGACTGACCGTGAGAACATTTGTTCCCCTTTTTTCTCTGCTGAGGAATTTGAAAGCAAATCCTGAGCGTGTGATTGTACGCCTGCGCACTTCAGTGTGCCTTTCTGGAACACGTATGTTTTTACCTAGCCACCGTGACGTTATATCGAAACCGGTAATTTTTTGGAATCTTGTATTAGCAAGGCCATAATAAATTATTCTTGATTGCCTTGACAATATTTTCTGTTGGTTTGTTCTGAGCAGCAGCCAAACAAATCCACATGTTGCATCTCTCAAACTTTTAGATGGTAAACTTCATTATGTTCCATTTATTTCAAGGCTCACTGATAATTACTTCTTTTTTCCCTTCAGTGACCAGTCTAACCCTTTAATCTATCTTGTGAAACCTCCTACTGGACCTCATTCGAAAAACGAAGGCATTCCCGCAACCCCCTTTCACCTTCTGCCTTGTAGCTCCCTGACTGCTGGGCCTCACCTCCCAGAAGGGCCTTCTCCCCAGCCAGCGACCTGGCAGCCCCACCCTCGGGCCTCTCCCCAGGCTGGGCTGGGCTGGGCTGGACTGGGCTAGGGTTCCTCTCCCCAGCCTGTGCTGGGCTGTGACCCCACCCTCGGGCCTCTCCCAGGCTAGGCTGGGCTGGGCTGGGGTTCCTGCGTCAGACATGTCTGGACCTCCCGTGGAGACCGTCCTCAGACACGGGCTGTGTCCTTCATGCTCCCACGTGACCCTTGAGCTTGACTTCTGGGAATTCTGGCCTCTCTGTCCCGCCCCTACCAGACTTTCTGAAGTCAGGCCTTGAACACCTTCTGAGCCATTCCTAGGTCTCACTGACCGCGTGGTTCTGACCCGCCTTGCGGATCAGAGAGGGCCATTTTCAGGTGGAAGGCTGGGACTCAGAACTGAGCCTGGGGCTGGAGCTGTTTGCTTGTTCCGTCCTGTCATGGGGGTCCCTGCTGCTGGGGGTTTCCGACGGGTCCCCCATTCCTCGGCCCTATTTCCACAAAAGACCCACTGTCAGGGTTAAGTGTCCATCTCCTGCAGGTTTATGCTTTATGCTCTGCTGCCGTCCCATCACCATGGGGACAGTTCTGAGAAATTGTGAGAATGAAGGCCTGGGGAAGGCGACCAGGCGTCGCAGCCTCTGGCGTCGCAGCCTCTGGGCCAAGCTGACTCCTCAGCTGGGAGTGGCCTCTGACCTCCTTCCTCCTCATTAAGTCATGGCACTTCTGCCTTGTAAGGAGGTGCTAATTATTCACCATTGAAAAGGCATCTTAAATTGCAAAAAACACTACAGCAGAGAAGACAGCAGCAGGTGGGTGTGAAGATGGCTGAGAAGAGAATGCCCCTGGGCTGCTGTGGGCCTAAGGTTTGCCCGAGCTGTCTCCTTCTCCTGGGCCCTCCCAGCCTCCTCCTGGGCCCTCCTGACCTCCTCCTTGCCCTCCTGGGCCCTCCAGGCGTCCTCACACAGTCCCTTCCGGCCTCCTCGTTCTCAGCCCTCCCCGAACCTCCTCGTCTTCCTGGACCCCGCAAGCCTCCTCACATGCTTTCCCCCCACCCCTCCTGGTCTATCGTGGCCCTGTCAGTCTTGCCTCCTGCCATTCATCCGTAACAATTGACAGCAGCAGGAGTCAGAGAAATCCCCAGGCAGACACAGGCGAGTCCCCAGGGAAACCCGACCTCCAAACCAAAGACAGGTTCACGTCTGAAAGCCGAACTGCATGTCTCAGGTGAATCCACAGACCGGATTGAGAACCTCTTTTCCTGTTGGGCGCGCTTTCCTCTGGTTGGCCCTATTTTACGTATACCCACTCTTCCCTCATTGGTTTTTGACACTGCTGTGCCCATCTTTGAGTCATGCCTTTTTTTTTTTAGCCTTTTTTGCATAGTCACAAACCAATCAACATGCACTCCCCCATTCTGAATCCACAAAAGCCCCAAACTCAGCCACACTGGGGGACCACCTGACTGAGGGTAGGGGCCATGACTGAGGGTAGGGGCTGCCCTCTCCAGGTCCCCTCTCTGCTGAGAGTTGTCACTCAATAAAACTCACCAGCCGAGCACGGTGGCTCACGCCTGTAATCCCAGCACTTTGGGAGGCTGAGGTGAGTGGTCCACAAGGTCAAGAGATGGAGACTAGCCTGGCCAACATAGTGAAACCCCATCTCTACTAAAGATATAAAAATTAGCTGAGCGTGGTGGCACGCACCTATAGTCCCAGCTACTCAGGAGGCTGAGGCCGAGAATTGCTTGAACCCCAGAGGTGGAGATTGCAGTGAGCTGAGATTGTGCCATTGCACTCCAGCCTGGGCGACAGAGCAAGACTCTGTCTCAAACAAAACAAAACAAAACTCTGCCCTGCTCACCCTTCAGTTGTCAGGGTAACCTATTTTTCTTGGATGCAGGACAGGGACTCAGGACTCACCAAATGCGGGTATGAAAAATGCTGTAATGCGGTAGCCCTCCACCTTCCTCCCTTAGCCAGCGCTAGGCAGCCGCCACACGTGACAGGAAACAGCAGTGGGGCCGGGCCAGCCCCAGAGGTTCAGGGCAGGGCAATGGGACCGAGAGCCTCACATAAGCGGGCCAAGTAGGCAGGTACCTCCTGCAGAGAGCCGGGGTCAAGGGAGGCCCGGGCAGGGGCATCGCCAGCCTTGGGGGTCTCCAGCTGGCAAAGAGGCACTGAGAAATCCATCATCACAATGAATCCTCTCACATGTCTCATCTGGGGCTGTTGATACGTAGAGTAATATTCTTTCTTAAGTGCATTCTTTTGTGACTTGTTTTTTTCACTTCGTGTCTGTGAGATTTGTTTCCATTGCTGTACAGCATTTTGTTGCCTGGATATACTGCGGTTTATGTACCCACAATTTATTCAGTATTAACAGCCGTTTGGCTTATCCCAGGCTGTTGCTGTTGTGAGCAATCTTTGCAGCACCTGCTGCACCTGCTGTACCTGCTGCACCTTCTGCACCTGCTGTACCCTGCTGTACCTGCTGCACCTGCTGTACCCTGCTGTACCTTACTGCACCCTGCCGCACCCTGCTGCACCTGCCGTACTCTGCCGCACCTGCCGTACCCTGCCGCACCCTGCTGCACCTGCTGTACCCTGCTGCACCCTGCTGCACCTGCTGTACCCTACCATACCCTGCTGCATCCTGCCGCACCCTGCTGCACCCTGCTGCATCCTGCTGCACCCTGCTGTACCCTGGAGCCGGGAGGGCTGCCCTGATGTCTGTGGGGGCAGCTGCTGGGCTCGGGGTGAAGGTTCCCCACATGGCAGGTCGATGGCAGACGATGGTGAAGGTCTTCCCAGGTGGCTGGCCAGCGGCTACTCCAGCTACTCTCTTGCCCCGAGTTCTTGCCATGGCTGCATGTTACTGGACGCTGGAATTTCTGCTCACCCAGTGTGAGACAAGAATAGCACTGGGTGGTCGCAGGAGGACGGAAAACCCAGGCAACAGCGAAGACAGGAATGTGGCAAAGTAACCACAGGATGGCAGAAAACCCAAAGCAAGCACAGGACAGCAGAAAACCCAAAGCAAGGGAGGGAGAGAGAAGGCAAACCCACCAGCGTGATGTGTCCTCTGTTCTCCCGGGAAAACGCGAATAAGGGAGAACGAGGCTGTGGTAGGGGCTTACTTAAAATCCCCTCCTTTCCCAGAATACCTGATGATGATCCTACCCTCTCATGAAAGAAACACCCGCAAAATGAGGAACACAAACTTCTCTGCACACCTCCCTCTGAGTGCGCCTCCTGAGCTTGCCTCCTTCTCCTGAGCTTGCCTCCTTCTCTTGAGCTCACCTGGCTTCTCACTTAGGCACGTGCTTTCACTTTGCAGCAAAAGCTGCTGCTTTTCCCATCTAAATTTTTGCTCTGAAGGTGCCAAGAACCTGGAAACCGGCTGGGGGTGGTGTCTCACCAGCATTTGGAGACCCTCCTGAGTCGTCTGGCAACCAGTGACAATACAGAGGTGTCTTTGGATTTTGTTTGCGTTTTCCTGGTTAAACATGAGGTGGTTATTGCGTGTGTTTAATCAGCTACGTTTTGCTGTCATAAACCTAATTAGCATTTATTATCTCTTCGCTATTATTTTGTACAGGATCCTTTGGATTCATGTTCTCACGTGATTGATTTCTCAGGAACTTCCTGAGTTTGGTTTTGGTGTGCCAGCTCCACAGATGAGCTGGGAGGAGCTTTCTCTGTGTCTGTACCTGAATGGTTGGTGTAGAATTTTAAATTAGGTGTATGATTGATTTTGAGTATAAAACCAGCCTTGTGTGTCAGGGATAAATCCCAGGATGTGTAGTCTTCTTGTTGTGTTGTTGAATTCGGTTTGCTAATATTTAGTTGAGGATTTTGGCATCAATTTTCACTAGAGAAATGGGCCTTTAGTTTTCTATTTTTTTCTGTTTTGTTTGCTTTTGTATTTGTTTTTTGGAACTGAATGAAGTGCAGTGTGTTCCCCCAAAGGAGATTTGTGTTGCTTTCTAGGGGTTTGGGTTGCACAAATCCACAGCTTCCGGCCTTTCAAGCCACTTGTCAAGGTCACTCTGACTGCAGGGTCATCAACCTGGGACTAGTACAGACCATCACGGCACAGGCTTCCTGGGCCAGTTGGAGAAGGTGAAGCTCGCATAGTGGCCGAGGGCTTGGCCTTTCTGCCCTCACCTCCCTGAGGCCACACAAATCCTCAGCCTGTGTGGCTGGAGTTGAAGCCATCCACAGCTCACCTCAGTTTCGATATCTTGTCCCCATTTTCTTTCCCCTTTTAACAAAATGAAGCACATATTTCTTCTGGCATTTGTGGTTTTTCTCTGTGGGAGAGGCCATCTGAATACCTAACCAGTGTGTTATACAGATAATGAAAGTCAGCATTCACCTTTTAAATAGCAGCACCCTCAAAAAATTGAAAAAGGCCTTTGTAGTAATGATGCTAATGAAGAATTGAAAGTGTTTATTAGGTAAATAATATGGTTTTATACATTATTTATGTGGTAAAGAGTCTGTTTTTCGTAGTCTTTTAAAAGACTTTCTGTTCATTTACTTTTTTTCATTTAAGATATATATAAAATAAAACTTACCATTTTAACCATTTTTAGGTGTATGGTTCAGTGGCATTCCTTACCTTTTCATTGTTGTGCAATGTAAAAAAACCTTTTTGAACCATTTGCTTAATTAATAACAGAGGAATTTTATACGTATATGTATATTTCTAGTAAAAAATGTTTGGAAAAACTTGACTAACCAATATTAATTAAAATGGCTAATAGTTGGAATCATACTAGACTGTTCAGGTGGTTTTCCAAAGCTCTGACTGTTTCCATGGAAAGAAACTCCCCTATGAGAGTGGGCTCCACACTGAGTGGCGAGCAGTGCCTCCTGCGTGTCCATCACACGGGGTCCGTCACATGGGGTCCGTCACATGGGTCCGTCACACAGGGTCCGTCACACGGGATCTGCTCGTCATGTCTGCCGCCCTGGACGGCTGTGCGTTTGGGAAGTGAGATCTGTGCACACAGTCTGTTGTGAAGGAGACACGAGTCTCGTGATTTCACCTTTACACTTACCGTGTTTGTTTCCTTAGCTTTTCTTCTTACCTACGCTTCATTTAGATCACTCCTTAAAAGTGGAATTTTTAGACTTTTTGTCAACATGGGTCATCTTGTTTCAGACGAGCATATGTGATGTACTATGGTTCGCAACTAACGACAGCATTTACAGTTTAGAACAAAACCTTCAGTAAGAACAATTATATAAATAGTTTTAATACAGAGATAACTTTTCTGTAGCAAGAAAGTGATGAAATTTTAACATGTTGATGTTTTGTGTGTAATTTAGAAAATATTCCCATGGAAAATTAATGGATATGTTTCATTTACAGTAATGCTGTCATCCCAAAATTTGCCTTCCTCTACTTACAACACTATAACAGAGATAATATAAACAGAACATACGTGGTAGATGAGGAACTATTATATTTTAATGCTTAGAGCATTTGTAAAACTAATATGCAGTTATGTATTTATAAACCTTATTCTAGGACTTTTAAGACTTTCTCATAATGAAGTGTACTACTAATGTGCCCGTAACTTTATCATTTTATCCTGAAATGGTTTTCCTTCCGGTGATATTTGATTATTTTCTGGAGAAGGTTTTTCCTCCTCTCCTGACTGTGGATTGGACAGTGCAGTTTCCTGGCTTCTCCTGGGAGCAGTTACTTTTCTAGTGCCCTTGCCCTCTGAGGGTTCCTTTGGGGTCCCAGCTGTGTGTGGTGTCTTCCTTTCCCTTGGAAACCTCTTCCCCTCCAGGTCCGGCTTTGCTCTCTGCAAGCCTGTGAGGTCGGTGGAGCCTAGGCCCAGGGAGGCGACCTGGCTTACAGATTCCTGGTCACCTCCTGGACTCTGATTTGCACAGTGAGACGTCCACAATATTAAGTTAATATTCTCTTAGGGCCACTTGATTCTTAATGGGAATGTGATTAGGTTTTCCTGTATGAAATAGTGCCAGAAACAGAACTGAATTTCTTTGCATTTTAAAAAATAACTATTTTTAGAATTTTTCGGTATCATGCAAATATCCATCTTTCTAAAGCTATTTTATAATATTGTACAGACTATTCATATTGAACACCAACTATTAAATTTATGCAAAAATAAATAGTTCTGGCAAAACTATATTTGGTCTGAAAACATTTTTTTGATTTGTAAATATTTGTGGTAAGTTCACGTAATGTCAGAGTTTTTGTCAATTTGTAGTGCTATGCAAAATGTAAAATAGGCTAGGCTGGGCGCAGTGGCTCATGCCTGTAATCCCAGCACTTTGGGAGGCCGAGGCAGGCGGATCATGAGGCCAGGAGATCAAGACCGTCCTGACCAACATGGTGAAACCCCCTCTCTACTACAAATGCAAAAATTAGCCGGGCGTGGTGGCGGACACCTGTAATCCCAGCTACTCGGGAGACTGAGGCAGGAGAATCGCTTGAACATGGGAGGTGGAGGTTTCGGTGAGCCGAGCTCGCACCACTGCACTCCAGCCTGAGTGATAAAGCGAAACTCCATCTCCAAAAAAAAAAAAACGGAAACAAAACAATGCAACAACAACAAAACAACCAACTTGGGCTGTTTTCTTATCCTTTTAACCCCTTGATTTAATCTTTTGCTGATGATGGTTGGTGTGACTTCAGATATGACACCTCTTACATTTATGGTCAGAAATTCATTCTGTTTTGAAGAGGCTCTGTTCTGCTCATGTCCATCCTGAGATGCTAATTTTAAGTGTTTGTTTCTTCTTTAAAATTGCCTTTCCACAGCTGCACAGAACGTCATGAAGGACCAGCGCCTGGTTTTCCACAGTAAAGTCAGATCATCTGGTTATGCGTCAGCACCACAGTGAGTAAACTCATGTCAGTGAGAGACAGAAATGCACCTGCATCACAGATGCAGGACTTTAACACAGTAGGGACACACATACGTGCCCGAGGGTCACAGCATGGAGAGAGGACACAGCAATAGAAACAGAAGTTAAAATGTGGTGGGTTGGACCCCAGCATGCCAGTTAGCAGCAGCTGCAGCAGCAAATGTTTCCTGGGCACTAACTGTGTGCTGGGCCTCAGAGCAGCCCTCCGAGTCCTTTTCTGATAACGTGGTGGTCCCGGGAGGTAAGAGGAAGCTGGTGGGCTCTGGGGCTGGGAGAGCAGGACGATGCTGTAAACAAACACGGCCTATCAAGGCCAGACACAATGTTCTTCTTAGAACATAACTTTGCTGTAACATCAGAGCACGATAACAGAGTGCATTTAGGCCCTGAGTTAGCAAGACTGCTCCAAGGCAAGGAGATACAAAGCAGCCAAGAAACCACGGGGTGGCCTTGAGATTTCCTAAACCTTCACAAGCCCACTCCTGAAAGGCAAATGTGACTTTTCTAAAGAAAATGCAGACATATACCCCGCCTCCTACCTCACCTCTTGACCTTTTATGTCTCTTAACATAGTGGCCAAAATGACTCTGTTACCTGGAGTCCCTGTCCTCAGTGCACACACTCATCTCCCTGGTTGGCACTCACCTCTACCAAGCTCCCCGCTTCATGTTCTCCTGGCCACTCCCCGACTCCCACCCTGCCCCCTGGGACTGCTGTGCTCCAGGCAGAAATCCCAGGCCACTGTGTAAACACAGCCTCCAACCTTCCAAGCTCTTCCCCGCTCTGCTTGTTCTCTTTGGCTTGAACAATGGTGACTGTGTCTTCTTAGCTGTTCTTTAAATCCCTGTGTCTGGGACAGCACTCAGCACCCTGGACCCTCATAAGGCACTTCTGGAGGGATGGATGGATGGATGGAGAGATGGACAGAAGGGGATGGAGGGATGAGAGATGGATGCATATGTGCATGGATGGTGGGGATTTGGGATGGAGAGATGAGAGGTGGATAAGGGGGGGATGGATGGAGGGGATGGAGGGGATGGAGGGATGGAGAGACGGATGAGTGGGTGGATGGATGGAGGGGATGGAGGGATGAGAGATGGATAAGTGGGGATGGATGGAGGGATAAGAAATGGATGGAGGGGATGGAGGAATGGAGAGACGAGGGATGGATGAGTGGGTGGGTGGATGGAGGGATGGAGGGGTACAGAGATGAAAGATGGATGAGTGGGTAGATGGATGATGAAGATGGAGGGATAAGAGATGGATGAGTAGGTGCATGGATGGAGGGGATGGAGGGATGGGGAGATGAGCGATGGATGAATGGGTACATGGATGGAGGGGATGAACGAATAGAGGGGTGAGATGGATGAGTGGGTAGATGGAGGGGAATGGAGAGATGGAGAGATGAGGGATGGATGAGTGAGTGGATAGATGAAGGGACGGAAGGATGACGGATGGATGAGTGGGTAGACGGAGGGGATGGAGGGATGCAGAGATGAGAGATGGATGAGTGGGTGGGTGGATGGAGGGGATGGAAGGTTGGAGAGATGAGGGATGAGTGGGTGGATAGATGAGGTGATGGAAGGATGGAGAGATGAGGGATGGATGAGTGGGTGGGTGGATGGAGGGGATGGAAGGATGGAGAGATGAGGGATGGATGAGTGGGTGGGTGGATGGAGGGGATGGAGGGATGGAGAGATGAGAGACAGATAAGTGGAGGGATGGATGGAGGGGATGGAGAGGATGAGTGGGTAGATGGATGGAGGGGAAGGAGGGATGCAGAGATGAGAGATGGATGAGTAGATCGAGGTGATGGAGGGATGGGGAGATGAGGAATTGATGTAGGTGGATGGATGGAGGGGGGATGGAGGGATGAGAGATGGGTGTGTGGGTGCATGGATGGTGGGGGATGGAGGGATGGAGAGATGAGGGATGGCTGCATGGGTGGCTGAATGGAGGGGATGAAGGAATGGAGAGATGAGGGATGGATGTATGGGTGGATGGATGGCAGGGGATGGAGGGATGCAGAGATGAGGGATGGATGTGTGGGTGGATGGATGGAGGGATGAGAGATGGATGAGTGGGTGGATGGATGGCAGGGATGGAGGGATGCAGAGATGAGATATGGATGAGTGGCTCAATCGATGGAGGGGGGATGGATGGAGAGAGATGAGAGATGGATGTGTGGGTGAATGGATGGAGGGGATGGAGGGATGAGTGAATGGATGGATGATGATTGAATGGATGAATTCTGCTCCAGTGGCATCTGCAGCTTTGTATGGATTCCCCAGTTCTGCCATATTAAGGCATGTTGTGAGTGTCAGGCTTTGTGTGGGAGCCCCAGGGAATGAGGGGTTAACGGACATTGGTGGCCCTGAGTGCCAGTCTGAGGCTTTGGACTTAAAGGAAAAGCCCAGCATCAGGATCCCATTACAGGATTTTGAAGGAGTCACAGGACGATGTGTAGCAGGACGACATCTCTGAGGCAGCGTGAGAGACACAGGAGGGGACGAGGTGACTTGAGGGCTGGAGGACAGGTGGGAGGGGCCCAAAAGCATTTATGCAGACGTCTGTATCTACGTATATAATTTTTTTCACTGTAAAATATGAATCTCTTAAGAACCTTAGAGCTCTTAATATTTGAGAGAGATATAAGAGTTTTCTTTCCACAGTGTGACTATGTTTTCACCAAAGACCAACATCAAAAGTGAGGGGAAAGGATCTTCAAGACGCAGGAGCCGCTGTGCACGGTGTGTGGTGTCGCGCACATTCCAAGTACATATGAAATAACCTAGACCTTTCCAATGCTTTAACGGGTTCTTTTCCAAAAAGGTATAAGACTTTATATGTGTACATGTGTTTACGTGCATATGTACACAGATATGTATATGAATATTATTTATATATCTTTTTAGCCAAATTTAATTCTTTCCTGTTAATTTTTCAGACATGGTCTGTTCTTACCACCCTAACAATTTTGAAATATTAAATTGTTGTTAAAATTTGGTTTAGAAAATGTCATAGCCAGTGCTCCTCCCTGTCATGCACGTGGATTGGGTGAAAACACTGGGGCCATTGTAGTGCCAGGTGCTCATTCTGAGTGGCCGTGGCCCGCGCCACTGGGGAGAACGCCTGTCCACGGGACTGGCTCCACACTGGCTGCGGCTCTGACTGTGGGCATGTCCTACAGACACCTGGGCCCCTTGTGACTGGACAGGGAAGAGCTTGGGGGACGTCTAGGGTCCCTCCCAGTCCTGGATTTAAGATTACATTGAGGAGAGATACGGGCGCGTTCACGGCGTTTTTCTGCAGCCTTGCTGCTGTTCCTGCCACGCTCTGCTTGATATTACACATATGCTTGCAGCAGAATGCATCCAGGCCTTATGCAGATGAAGTGTGGCATCAGAGTTCCATTCAGCCCTAATTCTGTTGGTAATTTTTTCTGTGAGGGCCCCGCTTTCCAGACAGAGCGCGCTGCCTCTTCTGCATTTGGCTCTCGTGGGCCATCTGCTGAGAGCTGCTGGGCAACAGTGGTGGCGAGGCCTCCAAATGCCACACAGGGCCCAGGCGTGTTTATGGAAGGCATTGACGTGTACCCAGAAGGCATCTGTAGATGTCGCCACCCACAGCGGCATGAGACTGGAAAGCGAAATTCGTTTTCTGTTAGTGAGAACCCTCACCCCCAAATCGTCACAGTACTCACATCAGTTTATGTGAAACACAAGAAATCCTTGCTGTTTTATTTGTAAAATACATGTCTTTTTTGGCAATATGGAATGTAAGTCTATTTAAAAGAGTTATTTCATGATTTTGAATGTAAGAGTCTAAATATAGACATATATAGATAAATTTTCAAGTTTACTGGAATACAATTATACATGTCGATGGGGGGAAGCCCACTTCATTTCCTGCTTATGTTTTACTTCTGATCTCACTTTGAATGTCTCCCAATCGCTGTTACCTCTGGCCTTCCCTCAGGGAGCCGTACCCCGTGGAGTGCGCTGTGCCCACCAAGCCCGGCCCCCAGGTTGCCGCCGCCCCCACCTGCACACGCGTGTGCTGCCTCCAGTACTCAGGTGCGCCACGTCCCGCGGGAGCTGGGTAGCATTTCATTTGTAAGTCTTTTATCCTGTCCACTGTAAACGTTTTTCTATTGTATCATAATTGTAAATATATTTTTTAAAACGTTGGTTACTTGAAGTTGCATGGCATGGTTTGTGTCTGGTTAAAAACTGAGACTCCGTTTCACTCGACTATAGTGAGGGTGATCACTGGGCATCTTGCCCCTGCGTTGGCACAGGGACTGGCACTCACTCACTAGCAGTGAATTTGCTGTTCTGTGTCCAGCTCCTCCGGATTTTGCTCTCTGTGTGTCTGATCCCTCCTACAGAAGTGTTAAGGTGGGCCTGGTGGGAGGGCTGTGGCAGGCCGAGATGCTAACAGAACAGTCGCTGCTTCCCTGTGGAGATGCGGTCTCTGCTCATGGGTAGGCTGGAGACGCCAGGCTGGGGATGACACTGCGCAGGCTGTGCACAGGATTCCTTCCTTACCAGACCCTCAGCTGGGCCCTTTTCCTGCAGGGCTGAGTGTGTCTCGGCTTCCGTGACAGTCGCCCTGTATCTCATGCATGTCCTGATAATGCCTTCATCAGGCTTCTCTTGGATCTCAGCAATTTTTTCTAAATAATGTTTGACAGAAGAGAGGAGCAGCTTGTGAGAGTGCCCTTGGCCTCTGCTAGGTAGTTCCAGCACTTGAACGCTTCTCAGAAGTGAGGTTTCCTTGCAGGTGAGCTGTGCCCTTGCCTGGGGCTGGACAGAAAGTCTTGTCTGGGCTGGTATCTTGTCCCATCCTCATGCCATCTGTCCAGAGGGTTGAGTTGCATAAGGGTTACCATTTACTACTCTGCTGAATTCCCTTTATTTTATTATATAATTGTAGCCAAAGAAGTTTTAAAATCATTTTCGGAAATTAGATAGGTAGTATTATCAGTAAATGTCCTTTTGATCTTTGATAGACTAGAACATTCCTTCAGTGTTATCGGCCTTCAAGTTTGAATATTGTGGGTGACATCTATAATTCCTTCCTTCCTTCCTTCCTCCCTTCCTCCCTCCCTCGGAGTCCCACTCTGTTGCCTAGGCTGGAGTGCAGTGGCACAATCTCGGCTCACTGCAATCTCCGCCTCCTGGGTTCAAGCGATTCTCCTGCCTCAGCCGCCCGAGTAGCTGGGATTACAGGCATGCAGCACCATGCCCGGCTAATTTTTGTATTTTTCGTAGAGACGGGGTTTGGCCATGTTGGCCAGGCTGGTCTCAAACTCCTGACCTCAGGTGATCTTCCTGCCTCAGCCTCCCAAAGTGCTGGGATTACAGGTGTGAGCCACTGCACCCAGCTCTATCATTTATTTCTACCCTGTTTTCGGAAAATGTTTCAATGTAACTGCTTAGCTGAGTATGCCTCTGGACACTCTGCTGATTTGAGGCAGGCCCCGGGCCGTGTTTCAGGGGGTGTCCTGTCCTGAGTGAAGGGACCTTTTGAGTACAGCTTTTCCTGTTCACAACCTCGTACAGCAGCCACACTCTCTCATCCTGCTGCTCATCCTGCTGTTCCTCTTCTGTTAAGAAAGGACGGCAAGGATGACAAAGGCAGCACCTTACAGAGTTGTTGGGTAGAGGATATGAGAAAGGATTAACACAGGGGCTGGCGCCGCAGACCCCCATGTCGATGTTAGTGTTTGTGTTTTAGAACCAGGTCAACTAGAAGTTCTACTCTTGCCTGTGGTACGTGTGACTCCTGTGAACTAGCCTTTTCTACCTGTGACTCCTGTGAACTCGACTTTTCTACAGTGTGACCCTGTGAACTAGGGTTTTCTACAGTGTGACTCCTGTGAACTCGACTTTTCTACAGTGTGACCCTGTGAACTAGGCTTTTCTACCTGTGACTCCTGTGAACTAGGGTTTTCTACAGTGTGACTCCTACGTATTAGGCTTTTCTAAGAGGTCTTTTTTTTTTATTCTTTTAACAGGAGATGGGCAGTGGCTGGCCTGTGGGTTGTCCAACCATCTATCACTCGTTTTTGGTGCCAGCCTGACTGGGACACCTGCTGTGTTTTCAGGTAAAACGTGTCTTAATTTCAGTCGGTATGAACTTAAGGATGGGTCTCACTTGGGTCCTGGTTGTCAGTTGCTAAAGGACACTTTTGTTTCCTTCAGGACATCAGCAGAACAAAACCACAGCTTGAATTGGGGTCTAAACTGGATTCACTGAGATCTTAAACCAAACAGGGTAAACATTACTCATGAGAACAGCGTGGCAGCACTTCCGTGGCTGGTGCCCTGGAGGCCAAGAGCCAATCATCTGTAGAGTTTTAGGGGAGTGAGTGAAGTTGAATCCTAAATAATTTAAATATATTTAATTAATGTAATCAAAAGGCATACAGTTGAAATACATTTTGAAATTTAGTGGGGTTTGTACATAGAGATTTTTATAAACGTAATAAAGCAAACTATTTTCTTTTAAAAGTAGATCTGAGAGAAACAGTGTTAAAATTATGACCATTTCAACTCATAACTGGGACATGTATTTGATTCCTAATTCTAATTCCATAAAACCTGATAGCTCTTCGTTAGGGTCCTGATGCTGCTTGCCTCAGAACTTACACTTGGTAGGTATTTTAACCAAAGCGCAGAAACAACAAAAAATATCTCACTAGTCCTTCTGTTTTATACAGGTTTAGCATCCCTAATCCAAAATTCTGAAATCCAAATACCCCGAAATCCAGAACGCTCTGAGTGCCGACATAACACCGAGGAGATGCCCGTTGAAGCATCTCAGATTTCGGATTTTCGGGTTAGGGTTGCTTACCTGCCCTAATGCAAATATTCCACAATCGGAAAGAATGGGAAATCCAAAACACCTCTAATCCCACGCATTGTGAATATGGGACACTCAGCCTGTCGCGTGACCACCCCAAGGGCAGTCGTTAGGAAACACGGAGGTGGGGCCGAGTGGGGCTGAGATGGGGACGGAGGCAGCGGGAGCCAGGCCCAGGTAAGGCCACATCTGGGAACAGATGAGCGCCCCCAGTGACTCCGGCCTCACGCCCTCTGCTTGCTAATGCCCGGGGCCAGGTCTCGGAGGCCCCCAAGGGCAGGCAGAGCTGGACTCGGCTCCTGCATGAGCAAAGCTGCCGCCCCTGCATGGTCTGGGCAGAGCACGGTTCTCCGGTCTTGGCCTGGATGCCACCCTTGCCCTTCAAGCCCCTTGCTCCTGGTCCCACCCCGCATCTATCCGGCAGCCTCAGAATCTTCGCCATGTGCCCGGGAGCCCTGAGCCGGCCTGTTTCGTTGATTGATAGGAGTGGTTGTTCTGTTGACCATGGATGTTTCCCTGTGTATTTTATTGTTGGAAAAAGGGCTTCTCACTGAACTAAGAAAATGCAGTGGTTTTTCAAATTCATCTTTACAAAAACTTGCTCTGTTTCTGTGTGGGGGAAAAGTGCCACATTTACCCATCTCAACTGCACAAGCCACATCGTTTCACTTTGGGTGTGTAAGGTTTAATAGTGACATCACTCAATGTTGAAAATGTGACTGGTCTCTCAGCACCTGCCCAGAACACAGAAAAATGAGTGTCTTTATTTCCATTATGATCTGGGACAAATAAGCATAAATTCAAATTTCCTCCTGGAGAGTTCAGGGGCCTCTGAGCACATAGTCAGGTAGCACATCCCATCCTGAAAACCACTGAGAGCAACCGTATTTAATTTAATAAAGGAGTTATGTGTTTCTGCTTTAGATTATAGAATTTTTCCTATCAAAAATTGTGTCTAGTCCAAAGACAGGTACTTGAGTCCCAGGCCTTCCGCCAAGCGTGTGCCTGGCACAGGGTAGATTCTCAGCGATACAGGATGGCGAGTTCTGAGCGTGCTGTGCAGGAGAGCTGCATCGTCTGTACGCGCCCTGGAGCCAGTGGTGATCGTTGTGAAGTTCTGGGGTCAGGCATTCCGGAAGATTAAATCTAAAATTGCATTACAGATAGTGGAATTGTATAAAAAAGAAATCTTTGTCAAAGTATGAAGTGAAGATCTGTGTCTCTCCTGTTCCTGAGCTTTTGGTTTGGCTCGAGCTGCACCGAGTGGCTTCTGCCCTTCTCTGAGCGGAGACTGCACACGCTGGCCCCCATGCTGCTTATGTCCCTGAGTGGAGACTGCACACGCTGGCCCCCATGCTGCTTATGTCCCTGAGCGGAGACTGCACACGCTGGCCCCCATGCTGCTTATGTCCCACACCCTTGACTGCTTCCCCAACACGGGGCTGCATCCAAAGGAAGTCTAGGTCCAGAGGTCTCAAGCTCTGACATAGGCCATGCATGGTGGCTCACGCCTGTAATCCCAGCACTTTGGGAGGCTGAGGTGGATGAATCACTTGAGGTCAGGAGTTCGAGACCAGCCTGGCCAACATGGCAAAACTCTTTCTCTGCTAAAAAATACAAAAATTAGCTGGGCATGGTGGAGGGCGCCTGTAATCCCAGCTACTCAGGGGGCTGACGCACGAGAATCGCTTGAACCCAGGAAAATCGCTTGAACCGCAGAGGTTGCAGTGAGCCGAGATGGCACCACTGCACTATAGCCTGGGTGACAGAGCAAGACTCTGTCTCAAACGAACAAACCAACAAACAAAACCCTGACCTAGACAGGGTTTTAGAATCTTTTCACTCTGTTTCTGAAGCTCCTCATCTCATCACACACACCACAGGGGAAACTGGTCAATTGAAAAGAGGAGGGAGGCCTTCCGTACAGTGAGGAGGTGGTGGGGAGAGAGAGGAAGAGGCACCGTGTGGTCCCCCAGGGGCACGTTGCTTCGTGGGGATTGGCCTTGCCTGCGGTGATTCGTCTTCGATACACCCTGTGGCCACAGCACTTCACGCATGTGTCTGGGGCTGGAGCTTGGGAGAGAAGGGGGATCCCACCTTTGGCAAGGAATTGCCATTGTTTTCATCCTGGGAGTGGAAGTCCGTCCCTGACACTTGAGATGAAGGACCAGGCCGACTTGTCAGGACTGAGCAGAAGGCGACACTTTGCAATCCCTGCATTGCCGGTGCCTCTGCTAGCCTTGGTGGCTTAGTGGACCACTGGGCCCCCAGCAGACGCTGTGCTCATAGGAGGAGGTGGGAAGGACTAGAAAAACACATTCTCTGTCTCACGAAGAAGGAAGAGCGTGGGTCGCGGTAACTTCACCCTCCCTCCTGTGTGACCTCATGCGGCCTCTTGCAGCCTGTGGGTCAGGCAGAGGAGGCTGATCTGAGCTTGATATTGGAAGAGAGTGGGCCACACGGCTGGTAATGGAGTGACTTCTGAGGTCAGTCACTGGGCAGAAGCGTCAGGCCCTTCTCACTGGGAGGACGCCCTTATGGCCCAGGCTGCCTGGACCAGGCCCTGCAGCAGGTGTCTGAACCTGTGACATTCTCGGATGGTGCGGAGCTGCGGACACCACTGGTGTTCAGTACGAGCAGCATGGGTGGCATCTGTTAATGGCAGTCATGAACATGACTTTCCTTTGAGTCTTGCGGCTGCTGTTAGCTGAGCAGCAGTGAGGAGTGTTTGGAGCTTTCCTTAACCGGCCTCTGTACTTTTGCTAAAACTGCCGGAACTCTACACGTGAGGGCAGCAAAGCTATTTCACGTTTTTCTGTGCTGTAAATTTCTGCCCTGCGTTTCCTGGCGTCCTGTTGCAGAACTGAGTTATGTTCTTAAAATTACGTCTTTCCTGGTTTTCCCGTCTTTTTACGTTGGTTCCCTGACAGATGTGATGTAGTGAGATAGCAGTTCCTTGTCCGGTCTACAAATTGTGATGCGTGATTCACGTGCTGAGGCCCGCAGGAAGGGGCCTTCTGCTCCGTGGGAAGATCCCGGCTACAGCAGGAATTTTCTCGGGAGTTGTGGTTACCCATCCCCTGTGATTTTAATCACAAAGTGCTTAGCTATGGAGGTGAAATGGGGTCGCTGAGCAGGTCTGGGGTCATTTGTTGTCAGGAAGCAGGAGTGAGGCTGCCAGTCAGTTTTCTCCTTGCCGTCCCAGCCCGGGTGCTCGGGGGTCAGAGGCTGCAGGGCTGGGCGTGGCCTCTCCTTGTCCTCACCTCCCCACCTCCTCCCCTCTCGCCCTCCTGACCATGCCACACGCCTGGCTTTCGCTCCAGGGCCGACCTCTGAGGAGAAGCACATCCCTGGTTGTCTTCGCTTTCTCCTGTCCTCTGTGTCGCCGCTTGTTAGAACCGTCAGGTGGTGGCAGCTGAGAGACTGTTTGAAGACGCCTCCCGGCCTGACAGCCGTTCTAGGGGTTATGAGGCAAGACAGGTCCAGAAATCAGCGCGGGCTCAGGGCCTGGGCCCCAGGGTTAGGCTGAGGGTAGGATGAGGTGGGGGGTAGGATGAGGTGGGGAGTAGGATGAGGTAGGGGGTAGGATGAGGTGGGGAGTAGGATGAGGTGGGGGAACAGAAAAGCTCTTACAGGTGTGTGAAATAAAGGCTGTTTGCCTCGTCGCCTACCTTAGTTTCATATCAGAGCAGCACACGCTGCCGACATTCAGACGCCTGAAGACCAGCATCGGCGCTCTCAGAAATCAGCATCCAAGCAGCCATTGTGAGTTTAGACAAAACTTTTCAAATCTGTCAGAACAAATGATCGACTTATATGTGTGTGCTCAGGGATTTTTTTTTCACTTTTTTCTTCAGCGTTGATGGCAGTTCTTTAAAATCCGGATGCATTATCATGGAGTCCACAGATTTCTATACTGCAGTTTATAATACTAACTGTTATCATGTTCTTCTCTGGTAACATACACTCACAGATGCACACATGATGTTGAACTTCTTAGTTTAAGAAATGCGAGGTTTTACGCTGCCTGGCCAAGGCATTCAATCACACTCCAAACCTCAGCACCACACAATACACGCTCCTAACAAACCCACACCTGCACCTCCTGAATCTAAAATAAAAGTTGAACAAAATGGAACATGAGTCTTTAGAGCAGCTGCCTTCAGAAGCCACATTGAGTCTACTGAAGGGAGATGGTGTACCCGGCCTCAGGCTCTGCGGCCTCACTGTGGCCAGGAGAAGCCTCCTGGCACGCCCCTTATTACTTGACAAATGCTGTTCCGGTTGTGTTGTATGAAAGTACCAGATAAGTAGCACTCAGTCAAAACTGATACTAACAGTAGAAATAGTCACCCTCTCTGGTCATTCCTGTTAGGTCACGACGGGGCAGTGAACACCGTGTGCTGGAGCCAGGACCGGAGGTGGCTGCTCTCTGCAGCCCAGGATGGGACCCTGCGGGTGTGGTCAGCTCGTGGGGCAGAGCTCGTACTGCTTCTGGTAATGGACGGTCACCTCTGCCATGGGCAGTCATTTCCGAAGGAGCTGAGAGCTTCTCAAAAGTCTCATTTTACCTTAACAGGAGATGAGGAAAGGGACATAAGCCAAGAGTTTGCTTTAGAAAAGTCATTGATTAAAAGTTATTGCTTCAATGCAATAAACATTATTGATTAGTTTCTTAAATGTGTGTCTACATGTATATATTCACACGCACTCAATAGGCACATGCATATAGATGCATACACATGTGCACACTTACTTGCCACATATTCACATGCACGCAGTAGGCACACGCATATAGATGCATATGCATGTGCACACTTACATGTTTGCCACATATTCACACACGTGCAATAAGCACATATGATATAGATGCATACACATGCGTGCACTTACATACTTACCACATATTCAGATGCACACAATAGGCACACGCATGTAGATGCATACTCATGCGCACACTTACATACTTGCCACGTATTCACACGCACACAGTAGGCACACACGCATATAGATGCATGCACACGCGCACACTTACATACTTGCCACGTGCGCGCATACATTCATATGCTTAAATCTACCCTTATGTTTGTGATGGTCTGTGAATGCCACATGATTAATGCTGAAACATTTGAAGAATTTAAAATATTGATTCAATGTGATTTCGTAGACCAGAAGCAAAATGGCCAAGGGGCTATTATGTGGGGAAAGTATATTTTAGGAAGAAGAGTGACTTGTTTTGATGACATGAGATCATTTGGGAGCGGAACAGGAAAGGAGAGACAGGAAGATGATAACCTTATGACTAGGACAGGGAAAGAAAAGGAAATGGTAGGAAACTCACCTTCAAATCATGAAATTGTGAGCAGGTGACTTGCAAAGAACGTAACATAAAAAGCAGTCACATTTCCAAAGATGTTGGCATTTATTTTCTATGGGTCTTTTATAGAAAGGGGATTGAAGATGAGAAAGACAAGAAAGGCAGTGTCAGTTAAGGAAGACCCAGGGCCTCTCTAAAGGTGAAGCATTTGGCAGCAGCTTCAGGAAGTAGTTTGCTGAGAGCTGTGGATGCCGTCAGCTTGCTCTGTGTCATAACACGTTTGGTTGTGAGGTCTAAATTTGAGAGCAGACACCTCAGAACTACATTTTAAAACAGTTTAAATTTCAGCTTTAATAAAATCCTTGCTACTTAGTATGTTTACTGCTAAGTTTCAATTCTTTTAAAGTTGTTAAATGGCTGGAATTCAAAGCATTCATTACAGTAAAATTTTAATCATATAATACCTTTCAGAAGTAGTAGGCAGAAACAAAAATTGTAGATTGGGTCTAACAAAGTATATGTACGCATTTAGAATAAACAGATGTTGGGTTTTAAGAAGAAATAATTTTATGTTTAGAGCAATAGTGTTTTTGTTAACCTTTATCGTATTGACAGTAATTACTGATTTGCATTACAGGGCAGGGACATGTTTTCTAAACCGATACAGTCTGCACAGTTTTATTATATAGATGCCTTCATATTGTTATCTTCTGGCCCTGAATTTCAGCTACTGAAGTATCACATTGACACTTGCAAAGATGAGATGAAGAGGTAGGCACCCCTCCACCCTGTGCATTAGTTTTAGATCAGAGGAAGCCGTTTCAATAATGTGACGTTGAAAAGGTATTTACATTTTAAAAAGTTGCCCCAAATTTAATAATGACCTCATATCACTAAACTGCTGATGAGAGGGAATTATCCAGATCCTACGCATTTTAAACCTTCCTTTGTATTACTACGTGCGGGGCCTTTGGCATGACAGAATGCAAGAATCTAGGGGATTTGAGAAACCTCAGTTATCATCTCGGCTCTGCAGCTATTGAAGTGATGTTATGTGGAACAAATACTGTTGATAATACAAAGTTAAATTATGAACTATTTCAAATATATACATATATATGGGGAATAATAAATATCTCCTTAGCTACACTAAGCTTGGACAAGTATTAACATTTCACTGTCTTTGTTTTCCAGAATTTTTAAAGAAATAAAATATTGCAGAGGGAATTAGGAACCTGTCTCCCAGTCCTGTCCGCTTCCCTTTTCCCTCCTTTTGAGATTGGCGTATTTGCTTCTTGGTCGTTTTATATTTTTGCTGTATCTCTATGTATTCATGTCATTTTTTTTTTTTTGAGTGTAACGTAAGCACACCTTTCTTAATCAAAGTTATGTTTCTGAGATGTGTGACTTCAGTTTGTTAATTGGGGCGAGTGCCCTGCGGTCCGAATGGGCACCGCGTCTGCCTGCGTCTCTCATGGAGGGACGTCGGGTTGGGACCTGCAAAGGGTTGGAGCTCCCAGCCAATAGACGGAGTTGCAGGGAATCCCTGGTCTCAATGAGAGCGTCCCCACTCTCATCTGTCCCGTGTCACAGCTTCCCAAGAGTGACTTCTGGCCTGTGCTGGGGCAGGTTGTACACAGAGGAAGGGCTCCAGGACCCAGCGGCTCCCTCCTGTGGCCCCTCCCTCGGCCTTGTCTTCAGAGATGCCTGGAACTTTCAGTCCTAAAGTTTGTTCGTTTGTTTTTGAGACGGAGTCTCGCTCTGTTGCCAGGCTGGAGTGCAGTGGTGATTTCTTGGCTCACCACAACCTCCGCCTCCCGGGTTCAAGTGATTCTCCTGCCTCAGCCTCCCGAGTAACTGGGATTACAGGCGCCCCCCACCACACCTGGCTAATTTTTGTACTTTTAGTAGAGACAGGGTTTCACTATGTTGGTCAGGCTGGTCTCGAACTCCTGACCTCGTGATCTGTGTGCCTCAGCCTCCCAAAGTGCTGGGATTACAGGCGTGAGCCACCGCACCTGGCCCAAAGTTTATTTTTACTTACCAGGAGCGAGCTTCATAGGTCAGCTCACGTAGCAGGCCTCCCATCTCAGCTGGCACAGCTGAGAGTTTCCCCTGAGAGTTGGCGGCTTCTCTTCTTGTTCTTGCCTCCTCTTTCTGATCTTGTGGGACTTCCTCTTAGAGATCACTTTGCAGCCACTTCAGTTGGGTTTCAGGAGGTAGCGAAGCTGAAGCATGTGTTCAGTTATATGTAGCGGGAGATGGGCAGGTTTTTCTAAGCATACATGGAAATACCCTATAGTAAAAGGCTGGTGCATTTGACCACAGACTGAAGAAGGAGGAGGAGGTGGGGGATCTTTTGTATGTCAGGAATCACCACAAATAATTAGATGTTAATAGAAAAACAGGTTTTTTTCCCTAAAGAAAAATCAAGGTAGCTAATTCACTTTTTCCCTCAGTATCATAAAATGTGACTTTTAAAGTGATATGAAAACTTTCTTTTCATGTTTAATGTTTTTAAACATAAGATATTTAGTGTAGTGGGCCGGGCGCGGTGGCTCAAGCCTGTAATCCTAGCACTTTGGGAGGCCGAGACGGGCAGATCACGAGGTCAGGAGATCGAGACCATCCTGGCTAACACGGTGAAACCCCGTCTCTACTCAAAAAAATACAAAAAACTAGCTGGGCGACGTGACGGGCGCCTGTAGTCCCAGCTACTCGGGAGGCTGAGGCAGGAGAATGGCGTAAACCCGGGAGGCGGAGCTTGCAGTGAGCTGAGATCCGGCCACTGCACTCCAGCCTGGGCGACAGAGCCAGACTCCGTCTCAAAAAAAAACAAAAAAATTTAGTGTAGTGGAAGGAAAGCAAGAAGATTGATCATCTTGATTTTCTCTTCCAGATATAAACAGAAGAGCAAGTCCAAGCTGATTTGCAGGCTCTCCACGACGGGTGCAGTAGACATGACCAGTCTATCAGCAGTCAACGACTTTTATTCCCGTATCCTTTCTCCCAGATCCTGGTAGGGTTTTACGCCCTGAGTGTCATTCCTCTGGCAGAGGTGTGTGCTGAGCATCTCATGAGTGTCAGGCATTGTATGAGGCTCCGGGAATGCAGGGACCCTTCTCATGGAGCTCGCTGTCCTTGTGTTAATTGTACGTGTTAATAATTCATCTCAATATTCAGAAAGGACCTCAAAGGAAAAAGAAACCTGAGTGCCACATAGCTCATGCCATCCAGCAGGTGGGCTGACCTGGCACTTCTGCTCTGGACTTTGTTGACTAATGTCTAGTAATTTAGTTATTCTTTCTCATCTGCAGAGCTGGCAAAAATCATAGCAGTTGCTGTTCAAAATAATATGAAATGGAATCCAGAACTTTTAATTTTTGAGATTTTTATGGCTAACACCATTGCTTTTAATTTTCAAAGTTGATTTTAATTTATTTAGGGAAAAAGCTCCAGATCTTTAGGAATTCATTGTATAAAGTTTTAATTTACTCAAAGTTCAATCTAAGTTGAACTGTATTGGAGGGTTTTGTAGTTGAACTAAAAGTGTTAAGAGGTTGTGGTATGTTTTAGTTAGAAATGTGGTAATTTCATGCTAGAATTGGTGCTAAAATACCTAGCAGAAATAAGAAAGATGTCATTAGGATTACTTTAGCTTAAATGATGGGTTCTGGAATACAAGGATACTAGAGTCAGGAGTAGTCCAGCGCTAACACCAGCATTACGGGTCTCTTGACTCCAGTGCACCTGTGTTCCCACCACATATACTCATTACTGCAACATTCAGGGCTGAGCATTGAGGCTTGGGGGGTGCTGGTGGTCACACGAGCCCTAAATGTATACATTGCTCCTCATAGGTCAAGTTTATGAAGCATGTCACGGTCACCTGCCAACATGGCACTGTCTGGGTTGTGTCTCCCCTCGTGAGACCTGCCCCAGGTGCTGCCACCCACTCTGTGGGTCTGTCTAATCTTAGTTCAGTCCTTTCTTCTGAGTGCAGTGTCTGCATATTCAATTATTTGACATCTGATTTGGGTGTTTCATGGACATCTCAAATGCCACGTATCTAAAGCTGGAACTCCCACCTCAAAACAGGCACTGGGGTGGTCTCCCTTTCCCTAAGCAGCCCCTTCGCCCCCGCCCACCTGCTCTTGTCAATGCCTGGGGCCAGATGGGGTGGGGCTGGAGTGGGCTCAGGACGTTTCAGGCGGAACTTCAGAAATTCTTAACTAGTCGTCCATTCTTGAGTCTTCTAATATTCCGAAGTTTTTGTTAGTAAAAGAGAGGGACTGTCCCTTCCCCATGGGTACCAGCGTTGAGAGGAGCTCCCTAACTGGATTATCGCAGATGTCGTTCTCGCAGCTGGCCGGAACAGGACCGTGGAAGTATTCGACCTCAACGCCGGCTGCAGTGCAGCGGTGATAGCAGAAGCCCACTCGCGGCCTGTCCATCAAATCTGCCAAAATAAAGTGAGTCAGTTTTTGGATAATATACATCATCTGTACAACTATGTGCTTAAAGCATTTCACAGATACAAATGTATGATGCCATTTAGCAGTGTTTGCTACCAAATTCAATGTTAATTTTTATTGATTATTAATTATTCGAAGCCTCGATGTTTGGCCCTAGGACATACTTTAGTATCATGTTGAATGTTAAGTTTTGTACTTTTGTGTTTGACTATTTTATAGGCTCATACTAAGATTTTACTAGGAAAACATTCTCACATAAAACTTCATAGGGTTGCATGTTTTCGGCAATAGTGGATTGCATGGTAGACACATTGGTTCTGTGGTCTGTGGGGCAGCCTTGCTAAATCAATAGCTTTTTTTGAAGGTGGAGGCTGTTGGATACAGCCAGTCCATTTTGACAGAGACAAAGTTTACAAATATCCACAGCGATGGGTTCAAGGGTTGGCGTTACAGGAGAGACATTTGATGAGTTCATTGTCTGATAGCTGCACGGTTCAGAAGACACACTTGGTTACCCAAGAGGGGGTCTAAGTCTTAGGAACAAAACTGCATTTCTTAGGACTAAAACTGTAATTTTGGTTGTTGATATGCCCGGAAAAGTTTTCCAAGTCAAGGATTTAACTTACAATGCCTCTGGCATTTATATTATGATTCAGGGTATCATTTTGCTAAGTGAAGTATTGCAATGTTGGTTAAACAGACTTTGTTATCCACGGGTTAACACATTTTGCATCTTTTTTTTTTTTTTTTGAGAGAAAGTCTCACTCTGTCACCTAGGCAGGAGTGCAGTGGCACTATCTCTGCTCACTGCAACCTCTGCTTCCTGGGTTCAAGCGATTCTCCTGCCTCAGCCTCCTGAGTAGCTGGGATTACAGGAATGAACCACCATGCCCGGCTAATATTTTTTGGTATTTTTAGTAGAGACGGGGTTTCATCATGCTGGCCAGGCTGGTCTCGAACTCCTGACCTCGTGATCAGCCTGCCTCAGCCTCCCAAAGTGCAGGGATTGCAGGCGTGAACCACCGTGCCCGGCCCACATTTTGAGTCTTTAAATTTCTGTTTAACAGGACAGGTATGGTCTGATTATAAAGTTTTTAAATCAGTTCAAATTGGAAAGAGCAAATATTCTAGGCTGTTAAGTTAAATTACATTGAAGCAGATGCGTTCCTGCATCTCTTCTGGATAAAGGGGAGATGGAGGTGTCAGGGCCACAGGAAGACTTTGTTAATGGGTGCAGCATGAGAGACCCCGGGATTCAGAGGCGCTGTGTCCAGGAAGATGGTCTCCCTACATGTCGGTCTGGATGACTCTTCAGAGAGGCAGATCCAGGGACTTGGCAGTGTGGGGTAGTCAGAGCTTTGGAGGTCAGGAAGACGCCTGGGGAGGCTGCCTGCGGAGGTGAAGCCGACCTCCGTGCCCTCCCTGTGGGGCAGCCTTGGTTGGAGAAGTGGGGGTTTAAAGGCTCCGATAGGCATCTTTATCTTGCCTTCCTTTTAATCTTCCACCCGTCCACCACCCAGTTCATCAATAGGACATTTCAAGTTTCAATAGGAGAAGGCTTTTCTGGTTTGAATAACACCATGGAAATACCAGCTTGCGGAGAGTTGTTGGAGAAAAGATTATTCTTCTGCATTTTCTCTTTTTGTTTAGACGCTTCCTGCTTATAAACCAGAGCAAACATGTTTTTAAACACTGCAATGGGTCTGTCAGATGAATGAAGGAATCGCTTTGAAGAATTCTGTAACTTCTTTATGAGGCTATTAAAATGGCACACTCCACAAACCAAGTGCGAATTAGTGGAATCAGTGCTGTGTGTAATACTCCAGGTTTCTATGTTTTCTGGGAAAGCTGTGAAGGAAAAAGAAGTCAGTTTGGTAATTGACAATGAGAATAGGCAGCACTGTTTGGTATTTGAGAGCCGTGATCGGATGCTACTAATTTCGCAGTAAGATCTGTCAAGATTAGGCAAAGATTTGATTATTAGATTTTATATATTTCTGGTCTTTTAAATTTAATAATTGAGTTATTAACTTTTAAAATGATTGTTAGCCTAATACCCATCTTATTTATTTTTTCTTCTTTCTTCTTCTTTTTTTTTTTTTTTTGAGATGGAGTCTCGCTCTGTCGCCCTGGCTGGAGTGCAGTGCCATGATCTCAGCTCACTGCAACCTCCACCTCCCGGGTTCCAGCGATTCTCCTGCCTCAGGCTCCCAAGTAGCTGGGTTTACAGGCGCGTGCCACCACGCTTGGCTAATTTTTGTACTTTTAGTAGAGATGGAGTTTCACCATGTTGGCCAGGCTAGTCTTGAACTCCTGACCTCGTGATCCGCCCTCCTCGGCCTCCCAGAGTGCTGGGATTACAGGCGTGAGCCACTGCGCCCAGCCAACCCATCTTATTTTTTAGGTATTATGATTCCTTTTAAATTCAAGTGCAGCTTAATGAGATATCAATAGCTAATATTTGGATGTAGCACGTTAAAGTATAAGTCTGACCTACTAAATTTATTTAGTGAAACGTGCACGCAAAGACATTTGACTTTAAGATACCTGAGTGCAGAGTAGGATTTGCACCGTCTTTGTGTCTGATATTGGTAGTACCTAGAACCTGGAATCTGCTCACTTGACATGCGCCGAATTGAACTGTGACTTGCTGTTACCAACAGAAAGCAAAGGATTCGATTCTTTGTACAAGAAAGTAGATGTAAATCTAGAGAAGAAACGGTTTCTTAAAAAGACCTGTCAGCATGTAGATTGCAGAGGTTAAAGTTTGACAAATAGTATTTAACATTTGTTGATGTATTATTCTCAAAACGCAGTGTATAAAAATTTATCTAAAGATAAAGATTGCTAACAAGAAAAGTCTCTCCGGAGATGTTATGTAGTTGTCTGGTCAGTTTTTCTAAAGTCTGTGAGTCTTTAGATAATACAGTTAAGTGAGAATTGGCTAAATTTCCCAAATATCGTCATTCTTGAGTTTAAAAATTTCAGTTGTGAAGATAAATGAATCTTATACGTGAAATTTCTTTCATGTTGTAAATTTTACATTTTTTTTTTTTTTGAGGTGAGGTCTCGCTCTCGTCGCCCAGGCTGGAGTGCACTTGAGTGCACTGGCTCACTGCAACCTTCGCCTCCTGGGTTCAAGCGATTCTCCTTCCTCAGCCTCCCAAGTAGCTGGGATTACAGGCATGTGCCCCCATGCCTGGCTAAATTTTGTAGTTTTAGTAGAGAGGGGATTTCACTATGTTGGCCAGGCTGGTCTCAAACTTCTCACCTCAGGTGATCTGCCTGCCTTGGCCTCCCAAAGTGCTGGGATTACAAGCATGAGCCACTGCTCCCAGCCAATTTTACATTTAAAATATGTTTCTTACCATGCTTTTTGACACTTGCTGCTTCTTGTCTCAAACATTGTCAATTATTAGAAAAAATATTTCCTAGTTCATTTAATTTTTGTATTGGTTGTGCATGACTCTTATTAAAGGTGGTCATTGCAAAGCCAATTATAATTTATTTTTGGTGTTTGGAAAATGGTCTGTCAGCATTTCCATTATAAATCCCTATTTTCTTTCTCTTTTTGTTCTTTTCTTTATGGGGTTTATGACAGAGCCATGAAACTTGGTCTAGATTAAAACTTGGCCTATTAGAGCTCAGTCTGAGATTTTTTTCAATTTAGTTCCCAAATTTGTTTTAAATTGTTTCAGATGTTTAGGTTGCAAATGCAAAATATAATTTCAAAGTTTTCAATGCTTTCTAATTTATAACAAAAAATAACATGTGAGGTTTAAGATAATGGTAAAGATAATTCTTTTAACTTTAGCTAATCAATTTTCTAATATTTTCAAGAGAATTATTTTGGAAAATGATATGATGCTATTTGGTATGATCTTGCAATTTTGTTTCCTTTCCTGTCTGTTCCCATTTCATAATAGAAGAGTTTCTAACCTTTTGCATATATAAAGCTTTTCTCTGTTAAAGGGTTAAATGTATGTAAATCTCTTAGCATGTGCCAAGTGCACCTGCCTGGTCACTGTGGAGGCTCCCCGTGCACACCGCCAAGGGAGGAGGATGGAGTCGCTGGGCCTGGCTCGCCTCGGGAGCCTCTGGACAGCAGGCATAGTGAATTCCACAGTCTGATACCTGTTTTTCCTCTCTTCCTCTAGTGCTAATTTCATTTTGGCTTCTTTTGGGTATTATCTTTTATTTCAATAACTGAGGAGACTTGAGGAGCCAGATGAGACTGTGTTTACATTTAACTTTTTTCTGGCTTTTAAAATATGTTGTATTGGAAGCAGCATATTAGATTTTTAGAATACTTCAAGCCCTAAAATAGTATTGACTTGGAGAATGAAGATACAGGAAGTGAATTGGTAGCATAATTAAGATTTGTTTTTAGAAAGGTGTTTATATTTTGTTGGCTTGATTGTAATACATTTATTTTCAAGACTTAAAGCGTCAGATTTCATTCTTGTCCCATTTAATTTACTGTAATGAACATTGCTGGTTCTAAATATATGTTAGAAATCAGCAATGATGATGGTGAGGAGTTAACGAGGAAATCGTGAAGGAGGACTGTTACGAATTACAGTGATGTTGGAGGACCGGTCATGAATGATGGCAACTGTGGCCTTTCAAATCAGAACTCTGCTCTTCTTACGAGGAAATGAGAAATGTGCCGTCAGGAGAAGGGCAGCTGCTGATGTGTTACAGTGAGGACTCTTTAGAGTCCAGGTTTGCAGCTCCTCGGAGGCACAGGCACTGCCCAGGGGTGCCGTTGGCGTCCACAGCAGAGCATCCTTGTGCCCAGTCCGCCGGGAGACTCTTCTGCCTTTATCTGTTTGACACATTGGATGACCGCACGGCTTCTTGAAGGGCTGGTTCTGTGTGTCTAAAAAACACTGCAGTAAAGGGTGACCGTTTCGGCATGCAAGTGCCCTATTGTGGGGCAGCCGCCTCATCTGCTTACTCACAGATGTGGAGTGAGTGCGTTCTGAGCTGCACGG